TTGTTTGGGTCAGCCTTGCTCTTACCATGACCTTTGTGAATTGGTAAGATCTTGCCTACGTGATAAGAAGATGGTATATGTTCATATTTAATTATAGCATTGAATATTGTAGTTAAATGGCCAAATAATGATCTACCTGCACGTTTAAGGTGTTCATTAGTTAGGCAGTCTGGACCAGGGGATTTTCCCATTTTCAAGGACTTGACAGTACACCAAACCTCTTGGGAGGTAAAAGGATCGGATAGCGGTGAATTAAGCTTTTCCACATCAGGATTTTTATAGATCTTTTCGATTAATTCTACTCTTTCCGTTACATGAGAAGCAAAAGATTCATCAAAACAATCAGATATTACAGGTGTAGCTAAATCAGCAAAATACATGCCAAACGCTGAGCATATGTCCTCTGGCGTCGTTGAAGAAATCCCATTAACAGTTAATTTTGACATTTGTCCATTCTGTCTCGATAAGCGTTTAGTCACTTTCACATATTCGTTAATGTCCACTTCAGCAGCTTTCGATATTTCGCAGAGTTTATCGTCAAGACTGCGTTGTTTTGATCTGCGATGGCGTTTTCGAAATTCACGTTTAGCGTCTTTGTACTTTCTATAGTGTTCATCGTCTATATTATGAGATTTTCCCGAGGCACGCCAGAGTCCGCGACATCGTCTCATTTCATTATGGAGAGGTTTCAAACAATCTCTTTTCCAATATGGTTTCAGGTACGAGCGATAACTGGAGCATGGTATACTGTTGTTTGATGAATCTATGAGTGCCTGTACGATAAAGTCGTTGTAGGAGTTGATATATTCTGCAGGAGTTAAGTAGCATGACAAATCAACGCACGTCTCTCGGAGATGGTTCTCAGTCTCATACCGGTAGAGCATCAAGTCAACTTCACTTGCTTTTTTCCAGTCAATCTTGTCACCACCATAGTGTTTACTGGAACCGGCGACATTTAGATACACAATTATAGGCAAGTGATCAGACACACTGTAGGGCACACTAGTGTCAATCATATGTCCAGTTACACAAGGGAGGTATTCTTTATGTACAAAAACATAGTCAATGAGAGTTCTCGAAGAATTATTCTTTGTTGAAAATGTATTTTGAGACTGATCATCCAGGGGAACAATAGAAATAAGATTTCTTTCAGTGAGTGCTCTCTGCAAATATGACGCACGTTTTCTTGTGGGTTGAAGATGTTTGCGCAGATCTACATTAAAATCCCCCAGGAGAATAGTGTCACCTTCGTGTGAATATTGATCATACATCGCCATGATAAAGTCAAGAGCGTCTATATATACACTATCCAAAACATTGGAAGATGGCAGATGTGTTCCAATGACATAGATCAGTTCTTCATTCGTTTTAAGTTTTATACCTAACATACGGTCCTGGCTATTGGTATCCAGAAGTGTGACCTTGCACTGTTTTGATTTTCTGACGAATATCGCCACTCCCCCAAAGCCTCTGTGACCCTGGGGATAACCCACAGAACATTTAGTAAATACTGCAAATTGGTCGTTAATGTGATACAGGGTGTCTTCATTCTGTCTATCAAGCCATGTTTCACACACAAACATTAGATCACAGTGGTCTAATCTGGAAGACAGTTCATGCTCGCTTTTAACGATGCCTCGTATATTCCATGTTGCAAGTCTGCTTATGAGCATTATTAGAAGTAATGGTAGCATCACTTGAAGTTTAATACATTTCCCCATAATTATTTATTGCTATGGAATGTGCGTGAACTATCCTCGTCCTGACCATACCAGTATTTCCTTGGCACCCACTCGCGGCAGTTTACATTTTCTGGCCAAAACGTATCATCATCAAGAATGATTTTTCCACACTGAGGCGACACACTGATTGATATTGTGTAAGTCGGATTATATCCCTGCCAGTGTTTCAGTAGGGAGATCTTGTGGATTATTACACCCCTCTCCTTGGCAAAGTTAGTAATGGCATCTTGGACAATATCAAACGACTGTTTCGCACAAATATATGACAATACAAATCGTTTAGTTCTGGTACGTGATGCCCCCGAAAATGCACGTTTCCATTCTTGGGAGAAGTTAACTGTGCGCTGTTCATTGGTGTCGATGTGTTCCTCAATGGACTGGTTATCCTTTGTTATCTGCAGGGTGTCGGCGTGCCTGGTCTGTGGGGGTTGAGTGACACGCTTGGCTTGAGCTGAGGCCTGAGTCGGGGGACACTGACTGTGGGCTGGTGCGTGGGGTGATGGAGACAGGCGCTCAGCTGGGGCGTGGATGTCAACAGTTATCTCCCTTTCATGGCGGGATATTCGAGTTTCTGGTGGACTCTTCACAGCTTCTGAGTAGAGTAGCTTATCCCTCGTATTCATGCAGTCTATTTTACCATCGATTGCGCTTGTTCGCTTGTTGATTGATGACATTGTCTCGCACAGCTTGTCTTTCAGTAAGATATTTTCACAGCTTTTGTCCTTCAGTTCACGTTTTAGTGATGTAATCTCACTGCTCTGTCGTTCAAGACTGGAGGTCAACTTCTGCACTTCTACTGCATACGTTTTGACTTCGTTATTTTTCTCATCCCATGCTGTTATTAGTTGTCTCATATCACTCTCATACCTCTCTTGAAAATCTTGTAGTTTACCATTAACACACTTCATCTGTTCTTTCAGATCATCATGAAACATAATAAGTTTGCTCACAATGTCACACATTACATCATTATTTGACCGATCATCACACACACTATCGCTGCCGACAAGGTGTTCTCCGCTTATACTTTTAGAGCGTACATGATGTTTCACACGACTGAGAACTTCATTTTGAACAACATGTCCAGGGATACATCTTTTGATATATTTGTACAATAGATAGATGTCAGATGCATACTTCTGGGAAACCTTTTGTCCACCACGATGCACACGTCTTGCAAGTATACCTTCTGGAAAATCACTATTTTCTTTCTTTGCAATATCGTAGAGTGAGAATCTGACGTCACTTAAGTATTTTTCATCATTTTTGTAAGCATCCATGAGCTTGTTCTCACATGTTACTTTGTCGTGTTCAGCAATGATATCAGTAAGTTCATGGAGTATGGCATAATCAGTGGAATCGGGGGGTTGAGTACAATATGTAGGCGATGATTCACTCATAGTGACAAATCTGGGTAACACAGCAGGGTGAAGAAGAAAAGATTACCTGGTGAGCCAGTCAAGGCCAGTAGTATTTCCGCTCAAACTACCAGCACTCATTCCTTGGGCTGTATTCGACAATTATCGAATAAAGTTCACATGGAAATGTAGCTGTTGTCCAATGTTACACATGTGATGATGTCATTTTCATTCTGCAGTATGTTTATCTCCACTAAAAATGCTAGTAAGCTAGTAAGCTTGGGGTACATCAAAGCTCAGCAGAGCTCTCGAAAACACGTCCACACTGCTCGGCGTCCACTGTCCCTCCCTATGTATGTATGTATGTATGTATGTATGTATGTATGTGTGTATGTGTGTATGTGTGTATGTGTGTATGTATGTATGAGTGTATGTATTTCTGAATGTATTTCTGAATGTATTTCTGAATGTATTTTTGAATGTATTTCTGAATGTATCTCTGTTTGTATTCATGTATGTATTTGTGTATGTATGTATGCATGAGTGTGTGTATTCCTTATGTATTTCTGTGTGTATATCGTGTGTAATACACGCCGTATCAATCAAGCCACCTGACCGCGCGATCTATTTAGACGCCTCTCACATCTAGTACTGGTTGCCGTGACCAAATCTAACACGGGCTCCCAATGGGGTCCTGATTAAATCGCCTCTTATGACCAGAGCAATGGATACGGGGGGCACATTCTACTCCCACTCCCCACCGGGTTATCAATGTCGAATATGTCCTTTATAACAACCTATATTTCGAACCATCAGGTGTTAAGATAATATTTATCATTTTTTTTATGACATACATTTTCGACTTCCTATTAAAATCAAAGATATTATATGCTTTTGGAAGGTGTATTATCATTTTTTGATAGAGGTACAGAGGGTAAAACGTAACACCATACAGTGAAAGCTCGTTACCCACTTCACCCGAAAAGAAACCCCACAAAAACAAAAGCAACCCGAATCTCAGCATTTTTCTGTTTCCGTCAGAAACGTCAACACCTATTAAAGAACATCTCTCTGAAGAGGGTAAAACGTAACACCATACAGTGAAAGCTCTGAGTGTGTGTGTGTGTGTGTGTGTGTGTGTGTGTGTGTGTGTGTGTGTGTGAAAAGCTTTGATATTGTAAAACGTTAGACGGTGACAAGACGGACAGAAAGAATGAATACAAATTATATCAAAGTTTGGTGAGTGGATGTTGTTTTACGTATACCATGACGGCTTGTAAATACTCGCGGTCAGGTAAAACAGTGGTTGATAGCATGAACAACGATTCATGCCGCCGGGGGACGGTGACACGCAATAAGCCAGATGACACATTGGAACCATCGTTATGAATCGGCACATTCAACAAGTATGGGACTGTAGATGCCTATTCTGCACCGGAATTCCCACGGAGTATTTATCAACAGAACCGTCAGTAATCGCTAACGAGATAAAAAATTGTATTACTCCAGTAAAGTAGGATCGGTCGATTGGAATCACCAGGGGTGGATGAATAGACTTTCGGATACGTATGTATGTTTTGCCCGGTCTATTGCTATTGTCGCTATACAGTTGAGATATCGCCAATGCGTTAATAACTTCTAACGTCAATATTGCTCTTAGAAAAACAATTATTTTTAACTTTAATCCCGAATGCAGATGTGAAGACGAGGAAAAACAGTTTGGTGCAGGAATGTGCATGTCGTAGATAGGTTGCATTTTGCAATTGACACAAATACCTGATTAAATATTGTTGTGATCAACAATCAGTTATCAGCCGCTATGTATATACAGATAACCGTTCATATAGAGTGGGTCGAGGTTTGATTTCAGTATCATCACCTGAGAGACACATATCGAACGGTCTATAATTGTGTCAATGCATTACAAGTAAACATGGAAACAACACCTCTCCTTGAGAAGGTGTCTCCCGGCACCAAGGTGAATGTTAAAAGTTTGATTATTAACAACATAATTGTTTGTTTGTTGGCGTCGGGCACGCATATCTACATGCCTGTGATGAGTCAATACATCTACCATCGTGTCGCAGATTCCGTATTCGGGAATGACACTCGCATCAAGAACTTCACTGTTCTGGCTCCCTGCTTCCAGAACACGTCTGATGAAGGATACCGTCTTCAGGAGAAGGCTCAACAGATCGCCTCTACCAAGTTATGGCAGTATTCCAGTGCTTCAGCCGGTATCGCCGTCTTCAGCAACATCATCCTTGGATCCTACTCGGACATCATTGGGAGAAAATTTCTATTCCTTTGTCCAATGGCTGGTCATTTATTGCGCAACGCTATGACTGCAGTGATAATCCATTGGCGCCTGGATTTGAATTACTTCTTCCTAGCTACGGGTGTGGATGGTTTACTTGGCGGTGGCTGGGGCTTTATGCTGGCCACCATGGCCTATACAGCAGACCACACACCTCCCGAACAGAGCAGGAGTTTGAACATAGTCATCCTGGAATGTGTGATAGGTCTGTCAGAGTCATTTGCTTCAACGGCTACTGGCTATTTCATTCAAAACACTGGGTTCTTCTATCCTTCCCTTACATCCGCAGCGGTGACATTGTTGGATATGTTGCTGGTGGTATGTTTCATAGAGAGTTCCAAACCAACAGATTCTAATGACAAAGAGAGTAGCAAATCCCTATTGCATGGCATGCGCAATATAACTGACATATACTTTGGTGGCAGTGTTTTGAAACGTGCTATCTTCTGGCTTGGTCTGTGTGTGTTCTTCTTCTCGTCTTTGAGTGACGGAGGAGGATCTAACATAGACACATTGTTCTTCATGAACCTGCCGTTCTGTTGGAGTCCTGAGAAGATGGGTATATATGACACGATCAGCACTGTAGTGAGGAAAACATTTGGTGTGGCGATCGTCCGTCTCTTACAATGTTGCTGCTCTGACATCACCATGGGGATGCTAGGTTTGATCTCAAACGCTGGGGGAGAAATGTTGTTCGCCTTCGCATCGGTCGAGTGGATGCTGTACCTTGGATGTAAGTGAGTGAGTGAGTGAGTATGGTTTTACGCCGCTTTTAGCAATATTCCAGCAATATCATGGGCTTCACATATTGTACCCATGTCGGGATTCGAACCCGGGTCTTTGGCGTGACGAGCGAACGCTTTAACCTCTAGGCTACCCGACCGCCCTGGATGTAAGTATTTTCATTATAAACAGACTCGTGTTATTCAGTATCTGTTAGGCAGCTTTGTTCATGGTGTAGTGTAGGAGTTGCGTCCCCTAGATCATAGGGTGGAGGCGTGTGTGTATATGACACATGCATCGTTTGTGTGTGACGTTTACATGGTAACATGGTTATAAATTTTATACATAATTTAATGCAATATTTCAACAATTCAACATTATTTTTAAAATCACAAACATAATGAAATACCGACTGCGTATCAAGTTCTGCGTACAGACTATTCGATGTTTTTAACGTCAATCTTTCTGTTTGATTGTGTTTTTTGCGATATTTGTCCTTTTAAGCTGTGAGTACAAGCTAATTATCCATGGGCACCAATGTTGATACCTTAGATATAATAAATAGTTACCAATATATGTTCAGCGTAACATTTTTGCTGTTGAAGAGCATATATTATGTCAGAGCGGTATAACATACTTCTCTTAATGTTGCCATCACTACATGTCAGTTATGCGTTACAGATCCTGGCGTTGCTATCGTCGGTTTTCTTCCAACACCAATGGCCCGGAGTATTCTGTCCAAGCAACTGCCATCAAATAGACAAGGTATTTTGCTTGGTGGGGGTAGGGTGTGGCTTGTTTTGCTTGTTGTTTAACGCTGCATTAAGAAATATTCTATCGAAATGAAGGCAGCCTATAAATAATCGTGTCTGGGACCGACAATCCAGTAATTGATACACACGTTATGAGCAGCGAGCATCGCCGTCGGGGTACGATGTCCGAGCCTGGCCACTCGATCCTTTACGAACAGCATAGGTTGACCTTTTCTAACCCGGAATCCCCACGGGGTGACAAGGTATGTATAAGAAAAAACATTACAGATATCCCAGTGTCTGTTTATTCACTGGATGGTTATGAAACTCGGTACACTTGACAGGGACGATGTTCGCGTCTCTATTTATTCACTGGCCGTGTATGAACTACTGTGTACTTGGCAGGGGCGATATTCGCGAGTCTGGCAGTGGTGCAGGCGTTGTGTTCTGTGGTGGCGGCTGTAGTCTACAACAACATCTACCAGGTGACTGTCACCTTCTGGCGGGGCGCTGTCTACATGTCCTATGCTGCCACCAATGGCATTACACTGATTGTGTTCATGTGAGTAAATATATACCAACACGGGGATTATTTGTTTTTCTAATCACAGTAAAGATACGATAGATCATATCTATTTCTTTTAGGCAAGGCCTAAATTCATTGTCTCTGAAGACTTTCGATCCTGTTCCTATGTATTTGAACTACAAATAAGATTATATTGAATTGAGATGTTTGTGCTCCACCTTCTGCAGAGCCTTATCAGAGAGTTCACATATCCCCAAATCGTATATGCATGTGATCTGTTTGGGAGCGTAGATAATAAACTATACATAAAAACAGACGTTTTTGGAGAAGATTAAAACACTTAGTTTGTTGTGGTCTAGCTGATGGACCCTGGTTCGTCTTGTTTCGTCAAAAGTTAGGAGACTGATTAATCTGCGAGGCCTTATAGTCCATATAATCATAATTATAATTCATGAACTGTTGTCAACAAAAATATAACCAGTTATTTTTTACTCTAAGAATATCTATCTAATCTGCAGTTGTATGCATGTCTATTCCCAAACATATCACTGAAACTAAGCGACCCAATTTACAGTAAATTATTGGGGTTTTATTTACATAGATATAGTGCAAAATCGTCTGTGATGTGGTTATGTCCCAATGGTATATAGTTGTAATGTTTCAGAGTGATGGCGATCCTCATACAAAAACAGAGGAAATCAACAGCGCAACAGATCAATGTAAACTAGAGCGGTGTGGATATTGGCAAGAACGAATTTCTCCTAGAAGAAACGATGAACCGCATAGCATTGTAGCTCACGTGCTATGTGGCCAACAGTTGTCAACATTGAAATACAAATATTTTCTTCATATTTATTGAGGACAAATGTTGGATTACCTGCATCATTACAAGCAACCCAATCACCAACCATTCCTCAGTGCACAACCAGCTCACAACATCGATGTTTATTTTAATGAGAAATTTAACATGCACTTCCAGTAGAAAATCCTGACTACTTCTTTGCCTGGCATGAAACCATTATTAGAAAGGGTGAACTTGTTAGGAAACAAGCATAGAAGACGTTTCGCATCTATGGAGATAGAAGACAGTTTTCTTCAGCAATAGGGCCATCATCCTTAAATAAATAGAGTTAGAAGTGATGTTGAAGTAAAAATATATTTAAGGAAGGACAAATTCATTATCACGTTTCTGACACATTAATGTATTTCTTGAGTTTATTCACAAATACCATAAAAATGTTAGAATAATTTCATTCCTTCTACCGGGTACATACTATTACATTTATCTTGTATTCTGAAATATGAAGAGGAGGTGTATTGCATTACAATATTTACAAACAAATATAATATTGAATCTTTTAAACGTTTACTGTTTCATTTTCAAATATATACACAAGCTTTCTTTAAATGGTGTCTATTAATCCCTTCAAGACTTTGTGCAAGCTTGAATGAGTGCATATGAATTTAGCTATCAATGATTTTCATGTAGAAAGAGTTGTTAAAGATAGATAATTCTCCTTATGCAAAAGTGGCTGATAACATTTCTAGCTGTAAGAATGCGAGAGACATATGATGGATTTATTGTTAGCCTTAGTTTGTCTAAAACTTTAACATACTGCACAGATTCACCTGAAATGTGCCAAACAATAAAGATGCTGTTATCCATAAAAACAGTTTCATGTTGTCATATTCTACCAACTTCTAAATGCCGTTCAAAGACTTCATTGCATAAATATAGTTGGAATCACAAAATGTTGGTGCAGTCACATGTATCCAAAAACCAAATTGACACCAACAGACATCGGAAATAGAATACATCCGGTGTCTCATGACCGGTAAGTTACCCATGTGACGCATGCTCGCCTGACGAGATAAATATCACTTATGGGTGTCTGTTGGACAATGTTGATAGTAATAAACATATTTCCAAAAGCGTGTTTTATTTGGCCTTTTACGTCCAATGGATTCTGTTTCGGCGGATAATCGAAAGATCAGGTATTCTCTGGCTTTGATGCTTTTGTATTTACACCCCGTGGGGAATCCGGGTTAGAATAGGATCGCAACATGCCGTACCGTTCATTTAACACGACTGTGAATCATGTGTATTTGTGTTGTTTGTTTGTTTGTTGTTTATCGCCTAAGCAAAGTTTCAGCTATATAACAGCGGTATGTAAATAATCGAGTCCAGACCAGACAATCCAGTGATTGACATTATGAACATAGATCTACGCAAATGGGATATCATGACATGCATCAAACCAAGTCAGCGAGCCTGACCACCCGATCCCGTTAGTCGCCTCTCACGACAAGCAGGGGTATCAGATCAGTTCTAACCCGGATCTCCATGGTATCGGAATACGGTCACGTCCTACCACCTGCAATGGGGTGCTGAGGACATATTATACAACGGGTCTCATCGTGTAAGAACTGGTACGTTCAAAAGATGAAGATATTAGATGTTCGGTGTTTGGTCATGAACAACATCAAAGTATGTCAGTTGTACATGTGGTATGCTTTAAATATGCCGGTAATGAGTCAATAAATCAACCATCGTATGTATAGAATACTATAATTTCGAGTAGTTCTGGCACGATTCCAATATATGTTTTGAAACTTAATGATAACATGTAGGTATTCATGCAACATGCAAAACCATAGTGTGATAAATGTATTGGGACTGAGTGAACCAAACTGATAGGTTCCTGAAGTCTATCGGTTCGCCCCGATTATGTTTCTATGTTTGTCAGCACCATGCTCGGGGTTTCACCGAAGTGGTAAACGTCTGATGTCTGCATCACTTCGGGCTTTCCTCCCACATTAAGCTGACACGCTGCGCGCGCGTGTGTGTGTGTGTGTGTGTGTGTGTGCGCGCGTGCGTGCGTGTGTGTGTATGTGTGCGTGCGTGCGTGCGTGCGTGCGTGTCCTCTTGGTTTGTGGCATCTTCAGTATAAAATAAAGATTGACTGAAATTTCCACGAGGGTGTAGTTTGGACATTTGACATTATATTCGAATTTTGCTGTTGATTATTCTGCCACACATTTCCCGAATGATTCACCATACAAACTACAGTAAGAGCTACTGACAGTGCTATTTGTTCTGTAAACATTACCATGTTATAAAGTCATTGATGTGTGAAGGTACAAACGAATGATTAGAATAAAGATAACTTATAAAACTAGCCACAAGCCTCCTTAGCTTTTACAGCTTGAACTGTAAAAAAAGCTGGAACTGTTGGAACTATGGTCGACATAGAGTGAAAGAAAGAGGGACTTTTGGAGATTAAAGTCATCCCTTTTATCAAAACGTCTTGTATTTTGAGATTATTTTGTCACTCTGGAACATTATGCAAAGGTCTAAATATAAAACAGGCGTGGCTGTTTGACTGATCAAATGAATTATGACAAACTGTATCCATGCATACCATTACACGTTAATAACAAAATGTTCAACATTTTTTTATGTGTAGCTATTCGTTAGTTATCATCACGAGTGGGGCGTAATAAGATCAATATCTTGACCATGACATCGCCCTCGGTTCACTCACGCTATATTCCAGATACTGTGGGGGTCAATAGTTTGATATCTAGTTACATGTACACATGTACACATGTAGATGGTATCTATTTGACTGGAAGAAAGGTTAAGCATCATCCTCTTAAATTATTTTTATATCACGACCTTCTAGTTATCTTTCGGAAATATCTACATTTGGCCTTGATCTCATTTTGATAAAGTTCAAAATAAGGCTTCTGCGATACCATGTGTTGTGTTGGAAATTACAGAAACATTTGTTGAAACGTAAGTTTATCATGAGGTGTCAAACACGAAAAGTCATCTAAATTACCCAAACGCCTGTCTGCGGGGATGTCAGGGCCACTGATTGTCGTGGTATTCAAGTACATGCAACCATGCCTTGTAGACATAAGGTAATCGGTACATGCTCACAGCCTTCACACCATATATACAGGTTATCTTCTCACTATCTCACAGGTATTACAATCATGCAGCAAGTACGTCAGATTAGCTCAAAGATGTTTGCACACTGGGTACACTTGGTACTGGGTTAATTTGCTTATTTGGGTATTAGTTGCAAATGAAAAACAAAGGATTGTATCATGGGAAGCAATGGCTTCAGATTGCTAAAACTCCAAGGGTTATGTGCACAAAACCTATAAATATTTCTTGATGTTGTATTCGGAGTGTATAGGGAGTAGATTTCCCTGAGAACATATGTAAATTGTGATTCTAATATCCAGGCTAATGTAAATTCCCCTGCCGCCCGGATATCAAGATGATGTTTTATTCATAAAATAACCGCCACTTGGTCGCATAATTAAAAGATATATGGATTTTCACAATCAGAATTAATTTGATAAAAAAACAAGGTCGAATACATAACCCATCAGAAGCGTGAAACGAATTCTAGGAGCTCTTAAATATTTGGAGAGGATCGTGAAAAAGGAAATTATATATCAAAATATAAAGTGCGTTTGGTTATTGTCTTTCCTGGGAGGATTACGAATAAAATGTACAAGAACATGGTGGGTAATCCAAAATGTCAAGCATTTGGGGAGGGTAATTATTTTCAGTACATTAACGATGTCACAGATTTGGTATCGTTATCTTGAGTTTCGTGTGTGTTATTGTTTAAATAAGCAGTATTTGAAGTTATTATCGTTGATTTACCTGACGACTTGGGATGAGCAAGAGGTACAATGTTAGCAATGTTAGCTTCAGTCTCAGTCAAAATTCTGGTGCGTTAAGAATGTTTCTGAGAACGAGTTTAGTGACAATAGACAAGAGCGGGTGCGCCCATGACTGTCTGACTTGGGGCCCGCTCCAAGTTAAAACCTGGGTTCCAGAGTCACACCAATTATCATTATCGTTTAGCATTGGTCGGTAACCTTTCCCCCTTGCAATAGACTATTCCACCGCTCTAGTCGTTCTTACCCCGAGTCCTCATTTGGTCCACTGTTGGGTGGATTCCACCATGTCCAGGAATTTGGTTCGCCTCCCCAAGACTATTTATGTTTTATTTGTTAGAAGGTCTCTAACTGGGACTGCCCTATTTCCGACAGTTCGGATAATACTTCTAACCTTATTACCCTCATCATGATATGTGACATTCCCGTTACCCCAGTTTCCCATGTTTGCCCTCGCCTCAGAGCACTGTATACCTACTCAGCAATGTTAGCAACTCTTATAATAATTCTGGATATATTCCCTCTTATTTCCATGGATTAATTATCTAAACTTCCTTCTAATTATCTTAATAAATATTGTAATTTCATTCCTATAATATTTACGTGTATACCTCCTTAAACGCGAATAATTTTGAAGTTAATTCTCAACACACAAATACAATGCAGAATGTATCCAAAGTCATTTATAACATACAATGCATGAACATAAAATGCATGAACTTACAAAATGAACATACAAAATGAAATAACAAACGGATGAGTTGCGTGGATCGATGCTCATGTTGTCAATCACTGAAATGTCTGGTCCAGACTCGGTTATTTACAGACCGCCGTCATTAGGCTGGAATATTGCTGAGTGCGGCATTAAACAACAAGCCAACAAACAAACAAAACAATACAATATCACAGAATATGATCAGTGATGACCGTTCATGTCTTGTGAAAGGTATGTTTGACTAAAGCTAGACCGAGCGCATGCTGTTTTGCGTCGCTTTTCATTACTCCAGATATTTATCACGTCAGTCTGAATACAATCAGGTCGATTATTCTTCCCCAGATTCTCGAAAGGGAAGTGGAATTACACTAAATATTTCCCTTAAAGAGAAACACTTGGTTGAACGGTGGACATGTTTGTTGAAACAAATATTAATAGTAGCAACAACTTCAATGGTAAATATATATATTGCACATGTAGGATAACAAAAGATGTCATGGTGAGGATGTTGTATCACTCAAAGTATATTAGACGGTCATGACTTTGGCGTCTGTATCTGCCGAACTTCTTGACGTTGTCTCTGTTCCTTCCTGAATAGCGGAACGAATATGCTGAAAGAAGACATGAAGATTTGAATTAATTGGATAAAAAGACTTAGTACAATTAAATATTATAAATACCATTGACACATTCGCTACCACAGCGTTGACAACACATGGCCATCTTATTTCTCTTATCAGTAAATTCCCACATAATTTCTTTCGCGAAATAGTTTAATTGAATTGGAAGACTATCTTTAGCGTCGTGCCATTTTAATCAGACTCAAATCGCATGGATCCAGTGTATTTATAATTAAAGATTGGGGTTATTATACACTGAATAATCGAGGATGTCACAATATGACTGCAAACAGTTCAAATATGCAGGACTACATTATGTATACATCATAACAATCATCATAATTCACGCCACAAAAGAATATCTATCGATTCCGCAGATACTTTAATAATACATGAGAGTAGCGATAGTTCAAACTGACCTCTTATCATCTGCATGTGTTTGTGGCAGAGTAGATAATACCAACAGTAGATTGAGCAATGTGTCAATCCTTTGTACCGCCTAACAAGCATGACAAGGTATTTTCGGCAAATAGGTGACTTTTGAGGTGCCTGTTTTGATGAAACATATTTAGTTTTAATTCCAAGGTACTATGTTAGTGAGATGAAGCTGCCATGTAGGCCTTGATATGAAGCCACACTATACTCACAGGTAGAGGACTAAGGCTGCCACATGCATGGCCCCCATGGCGATGAACACAGCACCCCTCCAGTAAGTCACTGTCTCTTGGTAGATGCTGTTGAAGAGCGGGGTGCCGAACGTACTACACGCAGACTCCACGAGGGCCAGACTAGCAAACAGTGCCCCTAGTAAAGTATAACTGAAGATCAGTAGATAAAGATGCATCCAGTATTTTTGCATATAATGTTTTATGTTTATGTATAATGTTTATAAATGTGTCAGAGTCGCTATTACCGCTATAATTGTGATAACTATAGTGGTCATATTCAAATTATATGTCCTATACTAGTATTGAATCAGTATTTATCTTACAATTTAAAGGTATAATAAAATTCAGCCTCTTACGAGTGCATGTTCTACATAACATCCTGCATCTCTAACCACACTTAACACCACCCTGACCAAATTGATTATGATCCTTGGTCTGACACCAAATTGTCTTTGTGCTACTTCATTTTGGACACATAGACACATATTTTGTATATCTACTAGATTCAGACACCCTACTGCTCACCAATTAAACAGCGTGAGCTGGGTATTCATGGGCACTGTATCACATGATTTTATTGTATATACACATGTAGTGTAAATAATTTATTTGCCTAGGTGTGATCGGTTGAATCTCACTGTGAAGGCTGCTTGTATGGAAGTGACAGGAACTGTGTTGTTTTAAGAAAAGGGGCCATATCATAAGCAATTATCCTTTTTCCGATCCAAGCCTTCAGCAGAACTTCAGCGTTCAGCAGAACACAGCTCTCAACCCACCACTTACTAATAAATAGTGAATGGTTTAACTTAAAGAATAAGGGAATTGGTAACAGTATACTCCATTTGAATGATCAAAGCATAATGCCTTCAAATGGAGAATTAAACCACCACACTGTCATAAAACATGGCTAATGCTTCAGCAAATATTGAGTTTGTTACGAAAGATAAGGCAACATTAAACAATCTCATCCCAGCCTTGTCAGATTGACAGACCTACTTTTAAGAGGCTAGCAGTGTCCCAAAAGAGTGAGTGAGTTGGGTTTTACGCCGCTTTTAACATTATTCCAGTTATATCACGGCGTGTCAGCTTAATGTGGGAGGAAAGCCCCAAGTGATGCAGGTCTCAGACGTTTACCACTTCGGTGAAACCCACGAGCACGGGTATGGTGCTGACAAACCTGGAACATAATCGGGGTGAACCGGGATTCGAACCAACAATCATAGGTTTCTGGCGTGTCCAGGGGACGCAACTCTGCACAGCGAATCGCGGCGCCTTAGACGACTGGGCCACCCGTGCCCCCTGTCCCAAAAGAAGAAAATATCGGATGACAATGACAGATAAGAAAAGATAGGAAATATGTTTCTGTGTGTATGCGTGCCATTGCAAATGAAATATAAATATACATGCGAATATGTATCTCTGAGTGTGTATCTGATGGAAATGAATTTATTATAAAAATATTCAAGTATATCAGTGTCAGCTGCATATTTTTTATGCCACCCATACAGTCCATTGTTCTACCAATCACCATGCTTCACTGCGCTAGTAGTCTCACAAAAGGTGCTACACAATGAGGTCAACCCACTAATACGGTCCACAGAAGGGCTGAGTCTATTTACATGCACTGAGTGCGTCCAGTGGTAGGCACTTCGCTCTGCCACGATTACAGACTTTAAGAGATTCATCAGCCCCCACTCTGTTTTAAGGTAAGATTATGTTAATTATATCTAATTTTTACAGTCAATTGTTCAAGCCGCTTTATCATACACGTACTTTTGAATATATACTCTCTCTCTCTCTCTCTCTCTCTCTCCCTCTCCCTCTCTCTCTCTATCACTAGACATTGATTATTCATCAAATAACACTTTAATTTGTGACTAAAGTTAAGAGAAGAGGGTCAAATGGACAATTTCTGTATGGATATCACGATTAAAAACAGATGGGAATTCGGTTGGAAATTCAAGATACAGGTCCACTGGTGATGGGACAGTCTCCGATTAATGTTGGTCCTGTACTTTTAAATTATATTAATTAATAACATTTTGTCATGTATCTGCTGCGTACCCTGTTTACTTTGAGGCGCCATCTTTGACATGATGCCCCGGATGATAGGAGTAGCGGCAAATCCGACAAGTCCGACAACAGGAACTGCAGTGAAAGGTTATTATCATTGGCAATTTGGCTGTAAATCACGAATCATGGTAGGCCTAATATAAGATGAAGATGTGAAATGGGGTTTCTCGTCGCATTAAAGATTATTGCACTTATATAGTGACGTGCATGCACGCGTGTGTGTGGCTACTTGTACCAGTCCGGACTTTACAGTGCTAGCCAACTGAGATAGCATCCCGTATTTTAGCATCAATACCCCACTGAGAAACCACTGAGTATACCGGCTCCGAGCCGGCCAGTCCTTGTTTTACTCAGGCAGGGAAACAACAAGTACTATCTTGTAACGTGTTGTGGTATGACCCCGCCGGGGTTCGAACCCCGGACCTTCCGCTACACCACGGAGGCTGTCAGACCAAGTATAAGCCGTGCTGTATATGGCCGTTGACTATTCAGTGGAGAATCAATCAATAGCGCCATCATTACCCCGGTCAATGGCGGTCAACTCAACTCTCTGGGAAGGATACAACCCAAGCTGCCACCAACGCGATAAAAGCATCGGCAAACCCGACCTACTCTCGTAACCGCGTTTTGTCTTACTCAACTTTATAAATTAATCTAAACGAGCCCCTCGTGAAACTTTGCCTCGTTTGAACCGTCTAATATCGGAATGAAAATCTCACCTCCCGCATACAGCATAAAGTCGTTTGTGGCAAATCCCCACATGAGGTCTCCGCCGATAGCTGACACCGTGGCCACTAAAGCAACAACTTCATCCGTCATACAATACTGTAGTCCTTTCACCAGAAACACCCCGACCAGGTTCTTCACCAGGTAGGTGATGGTGTTGAACAGCCCCATCTTCTCCGGGCTCCAACAGAACGGCAGGTTCATCTCGAACAGCGTGTCCAGATTAGACCCACTCGAGTTGTTGATGATGGAGAAGAGGAATATCAATAGCCCTAACCAGATGAGACCTTTCTTTAATCTTGTTCCCTGGAAGACATACACGCTCATCATGTTCCTTAAACCCTGAAGGGGGGTAATGCAGGACCTCTGTTGCCTGGGACATGTCTCCTCCATGAACAGGATCACGACTAGGATACCTAGGACATTGACAAGAGCTGAGGTTAAAGATGGATAGAAATAGCCTGTGGCCTGTATGAAATAACCTACTGCGAGGGATGTAAGAGCAGCGCTAAGACCAGTGACGGTCTCGATGACGGCCATCCACAGAGATCGGGACTGGTGTGGGGGTGTATTGTCAGCGGTGTAGGCGCACGATGCAAGTGTGAATGACCACGATCCTCCACATAGACCATACAGACCGGTAGCAAGGAAGAGGTAGTCGAGGTCTAGGTTCCAGTGTATTATTATTACCGTAACAATTGTCCGTAATACATACCCCGTCATACATATAACATAGAGGAACTTCCTTCCAAAGAAGTCAGAGTAGGTTCCCAGGATTACATTACACAGGACTGCAATGCCGCTGGACGCTATAGTAAACTCGGAGAGCTTCTCTGATGATTCAATCTGTGCTCGCTCCTGAAGGAGGTAGCCTGGGTCCGATGTGTTCTGGAAGCATGGAGCCAGCGTGGAGAAGTTCCTTGTTCTCGTGTCATTGCCGAACACCTGCAGGGAGATTCTGTGGTAGACGTATTGAGACAGGACCGGCGAGAAGAGGCTGGATGCTGATGTCAGGATGCAGACGACAACGTTAGCCAGGACCAGGTTGAATAGACAGGATCGTCGCCCTCTTTTCTCGCCACAAATGCTGAAGAATTGGACAAAATTTGATTTATTTATTTGATGACAAATTCTTCAAGGGAAACATTTTAAAATCGTTGACATGTGTTTATTTATTTAAGGTTAATATGCTAGAGTTATATTATGTACATCGATCTATCGTTACATCTTAAAGTCTTAGTCGTGCTAGTAGCCACTGATCGCTGTTTCGAATTCGCGATCGGCCTGATTATTATCCTTCTGTTATCAGCACCATATACCCAAAGTGGCAAATATTACGATCTCACCCCGTGATATACCTTGAATACTGCTCAAAGCCGCGTAAAAGCCAAATTGACTCACTCCTTACATTTAACGGTCAAATATTACAGTGTTATTCGGATTAAATGTGTTATCCTTTTTTTATTACATTTTATATCATATTGCATAAAGACTTGTTTGTATTGGTCCCCAAACATTTCTTTTATAATAAAGTAAGAGTTGAAAGGTGGCGTCATATCTGGTCAATATTTACAGTTTAGCGATTATTTTATTTTTGGGATTTTTGACTGACATGATTTTTTAACATTTCTCCGCGAGTTTTACCGTTGGTGAGATATAGATAGCCTACTCTTCCCCCAGATAATCTGTCTGTCACTCACACAGCGAACGGGTCACAAATCAAGTCGCGGAGAGTCCTTTGATTGGTGACCGAGTTTCGGCTGCTTGGGTTGTTTATTCCCCAGGGAGCTGAGAATGAATATCTAGTGTACACTGATCCATTGGCCGGGGTAATAATGTCTGAGTGCTTAGAGCATGCTTATGCATGGACTACAGCGTCATATTAATGGACTGTTATTATTATTAATTTATCTCGGGTGTCGTGCACATCACTTGGGAGAGTTACGTCCCTTATATCTATCAGGGCATTTCTTTCGAATGACCGCTCCGCTCCGATTATAACCTTGATGTTACACATGTCAGAGTGGTAAACGCCGACGACATACACAACATGAATCGCACCATTCGCATTAAGCTGTTACACCCAGAAGTATCTGAAATCTGTGTTAACGGCGATGTTAAATGAGCGATTGCGTGAGTCCGTAACAAGGAAGTGACCCAGGGTAATTTGTGTTACATGACATTATGCTGAGTGCCGGGGCAGAGAATGCGTGACCCGTCACCCTAATGTCGGAATACTTGTTACCAACCTTGGAGGTGAGATCCCGTCTGTGTCGGGCTGGCTCGAGAGAAGCGGTGATTTCTCGTTGTTTGAGTCTGTCGCCATCTTGTTCTGATCACAGTGACCATATGAAAGCCTTTAATTCGTATTCCGTGACAGTGGAGTGTGTCTAATCATTTACAAACCATACCGAAGCATGCTGTTACAGATCAGAGGAACGTGCTATGCCCATTACACAAAAGAAATATTTTCGTTAGTCATTGCAGGTCATGTGACAGGTAGCAAGGCGCACCACGTGCTTTGTTGTCAACAAACCCACCTGATCGCATATCATCCCGTTATAACGCATCGCGTCAGGCGCTGTGACTCGATATACCACACAAGGGATTGTTACAGTGTTAAATGACATACAAGTACGCGAGTGGTTAACTGCAAATTAAAACATGGATGTATATTTGTATGAAAATAAAAAAACAACAATGATTTCGCCAATTTATGAAGAATGGGTGAGTAACTTATAATTATATAATATTGAACAAGGGTTTATGTACTCTATATACTAGTACTTAGGAGATAAACCGACTGTGTTTTGAAATTTGATGTAGTCCCACTGTAGAGTAGATACCTCTTATTTGAATTTGGAGCCGAGCGCTTAAGCGCGAGGTTTCAAATGTATAGATAAGAAATAAGACATTTGTTGCCAAGAAAAAGTGGTTCGTGTATGATTTCCGAATTGTGCGTGTTCTGAAATGAATTTCATCAAGTTTGACTTCAATGATGTCGGGACATTGTTTTCGTGGCTTTTCGAATGGACGAGTGTTTTCTGAGTGATGGACTTTCAAATCCTCTTCTGCCAAATCCTTACGATGGTGGCTGACGGAGATGGCAACGAATATCGATCACACAAAAAAGTTTGTAAACAACATGTTGTCATGAATAAGTTTTTTTCAAACAATTTTCATAATGTTTTATTTTACTTTCATTGTCGGTTGTTTCAATGAGGAAATAGCTGAAATTGTTCCGATTCTGGTCACAATAGTACATGTCCCTAACAGTTTCATAAACATTTCATTTGTATGCAAAAGATATGCCTTCGTTCAATCTTTTAATGTTATCATCGAAGCAGTCAGGGTTGCGGCCTAGAACGCCCCAAAACATCCGATATTTCCTCTATTCGACGCTTTGCCGTCTATTAACGTCACGAGCCCTTGACTCGGCGTGTATTAGAGACCTGGATGGTATTGGAGACCAGGGTGTATTAGAGGAAATATAGATACGTTTTACAGTTCATATGGGGGTGATAGATCGGGAGCCATTTTTATGAATCGATATGTAGGCTATCTATGTATTCATACGCTCGTTTTTTGTGAAAAGACTTAATATATTTTAGAGGGGTTTCCGTAGCAAAAAGGAAATATCTTTTTAACCAGTCAGAATCAAGCATTCATCAATGTCATTATAGAATCTACGATGTGCTCTGGCAGTGATGTATGAATTTACATTTAGAATATTTGCGCTGGTGTAGGAATGTTTAATGCTCGCACATGTTGACAGCTGTGTAAACATTCGAGATATATAAGTAACAGCATCGCCTCATTACTGATATTTCAATACGAATTTCTGGCTAGTGCCAGAATAGGTAAACAACACTATGAATAACCATTGAGAAGTACTAGAACCTCGTTATCTCGAACTCCGTTATCTCGAATGTGCCGATATCACGAACCTATCTCCGGTCCCGACCGCGTCGCTGTATAAAACAGCATATAAATGTGCTCGTATATCTCGAAGATTATAAGGATACGTATTCTGTTTGTTGACTGTAAACGCCGACGAGAGTTGTACACCGTTATAAGACGATGTGATGAATGTACGTACCTCGAAGTTATCTGACACAGATCTAATATCAGCCGCTGTTGAAACAACAGATTACTCCGTCTACGTATACATGCATCACACCATAGGTGAATTCCGGGTCAGGATACGACGCAAATGAAGCTGTTGATCGGGCAAGCACTATAGCACAACACGACTGCATGGAGGGTTGCTCATGACTTCAGTAACAGGTTTGTCTGTCTTGATTAATTTCAGTCTATGATATATCTGGTGTAATTGCTTCAGTTTTTGAACACTACCCACACACTCGCATGAGTGTAGCGAAGTGGATAAGGCGTTGGCTCGTCTCTCTGAAGACCAGAGTTCTATTCCCCATACAGATATAACGTATGATGTTGTGCTCCGCGGTGACGCAATTACAAAAGACGGTGTGCAACCACACGTATTCTCGTCGGCATTACCTGCACTCAGAAGCATACTGACCCCCTCCTTTCTTACTAATACACCCAGTACATATGTTGACCGTGTGGAGAAAGAGATACAAACGTGTTCTTTCAGTGTGCCATTCTATTGGGCTCTGACGGAATGTCGGTTAATGGCTAGATAGACCACGAGATCCCTACGTAAAACGTTTCATATTAAAAATAGTTCAAATATTGTTATATTTGTCAAAAAAGGAGTAGGACTCAGGATGTTGGAAAAAGATGAGTTGTTTTGTTGTATAACGCCGCACTCAGCAATATTCCAGCTATATGACGGCGATCTGTAAGTAATCGAGTCTGGACCAGACAGTCCAGTGATTGACAACATGAGCATCGATCTATGCAATTGGGGTCGATGACATGCATCAACCAAGTCAGCGAGTGTTCACATTAGGGGTTGTGATTTTTACAATTGAGTATTGGTGCTTAGTGATGTATTATTAGAGAAAATTGGTTGTGAATACCATGTACATTGTATACAGGATATCTTCAGGTATTTTGGCCTTCTTTTTTTCTGTGTGTAATTCTGATGGAAAGAAGTCACTCAACCAGTTCAATCATTCCATAGTATAAGAAGATCAGACTTGGTTAGAATCCGTGTTTATCTCTGGCAACTTCCCACTGATGACATTAAGTGAACTTGGCAAGTGGTTATGAATTTTGATATTCATATTATTATTATAGTGCAAACCATTTCAATAAAAAAAATTAAAATAGTGCAAACCATTTCAATACTTTTATTTTAAATTTCATTTATCTAAATACCTAACTGGTTCAATTTGCACCGAATTTCTATGCCCTTTGTCTGTTTAATATATTCAGCAAACATTCGGCGTATCCCCTCTTATCATAAGCCCCTCCTGGCAGGACCCTTATTCTCCAGCGCTATCTATAAATTTCAAATAACACCTCCTTACGTCGCCGGATCTTACGTCTATACATACACGTGGGACAATGACCTTGCCACACGTTACGTAATACCTCGCTCGACAGCCAGAAGATCGACTCGTGTAAGTGACAGAACTCCCCAACAATCTCAGTCATTGGGACGCAGCCAAAACGAGACAAAAACGGCCCAAGGCAAGGTACGTCGTAAAGGTGGCGTATAAATACAACATTCGTTGCTGGTGATTCGACCATAGACGCGTAAGTAGACGCGGTGATGAATGTTGTGATTATGCTTCAATATAATGTTTTGTTTATTGATGATACGCTGAACCTTTATGCTTGTATGCTTGTACTAGAGAGACCCTATACCTTCTCTATCTTAAGCGTATTTGTTCGCCTGACCTGCTATTGATCAAAGGCAACTTCAACGATTTATGGACGTTACAAATTCAGATAAACTGTTCCAATAATACAGGGTGTGGTGAGCTGCATGCATCTATGCATATCTTTATGAAGTGTAAATAGTAGTGTCTATCGGGAATAGATTATCTATAGGAGCTGAATAGCTTTCGTATAGCTATCTGGACCCAGCCTTACCCCCATCCCCACAAACATTCGGATGACCAGCTGATGCCTAAAAATAGTCCCGTCCGCACGTGATGTTTTCAGACACTGGACAGTAAATAAATTTGTTATTAAACGGGTGATCTCTTCACAGAGGAGTAATACACATAGATATTTAATCTCACAAACACTGGTACGAAAGTAGGATCGTGTAGAAATAAAAGTAGCCATGGAGAGTGTGATTGCCCTGAAGTGACCTCTGTACATACAGGTCAGTCACAGTAGGTGTAAGTTCGCTCATCGATGTGTGTACCGTTACCAAGCCAGGTTCCACTTGTCGCGGTCCGCCCAGATAATTCTCCTTGTCAACATGGCACTAATCATTGATGTCTTTGAGAGGTTAACGTGTAAGAAATGATTACGTTTGTCTTTCCACCGCGATATAACTGAAAGGTCACGTTAATTCCAATTCACTCACTCGATCCCCAAGTTCAAGGAAAGGTTAATGTGCTAGGAATAATGTACATAATCAGTTACTACTCAGATGACTTTGTTTGTTGGCTGGTTAACGCCGCGCTTAGCAATAATCCAGCTATATGACTTTCTGTAATAATCGAGCCTGGAACTGACACTCCAGTGATTGACACCATGACCATCAATGTACGCAATTGGGCTCTGATAACTAACTATCCAAATGTATAACATCGCAGATGCCAAAGGATCAAATCTTTAATCCGCATACCCACAATGTGGCTCGTGAACACCCCAGCAAAAGAGTGAGTGAGCGAGTTTAGTTTAACGCCTCTTTTAACAGTATTCCAGTTATATCACGGCGTGTCAGCTTAATGTGGGAGGAAAGCCCGAAGTGATGCAGGTCTCAGACGTTTACCACTTTGGTGAAACCAACGGGCATGGGTATGGTGCTGACAAACCTAGAAACATAATAGGGGCGAACCGGGATTCGAACCTCCAATCATAGGTTTCTGGTGTGCTCAAGGCACGCACATTTGCACAGCACCTTCCCCCTTCCCAGTCGATACCGTTCACAAATCAATCACCCAACCCTAAAATGAATGTTACCATAAAATGCAATGTTAAATTTAAGATACCTTCATAGAATTGACAAAGCCATATCTCATTCTAAAAACTTATTCAAATATGATTACAAAAGCAACATTATTGATACATCAATTTCATTTTAGTTCGATATATAATTATAGACCGTGCACGTGGTAATCGGTGAACATCTGAAGCGAGCATATGGCTATGTAGCGGCACGTAGGTAAGCGATATATACTGATCACACTGTCAACCAATCTCATTGTCACGAGACACGCTTAACACGCCCACCTACACATAAGACAGAGTGGTACATTTTATGACCTTTTCAACTGTGAAGTCGACAGGCAGCGGTCATATGGTCTGAGGTGCAGCGTTATCTCAAGTTCGTATGATTATGTTTCAGGAGGACTGAAAAAGTGTAATATAAGTCTGTCAAAAATGCCGAAGGAGGAGGAACAAAAGCCGCTCCTTGGGGCCCCAAGCACTAAACCCAGATCGTTCCTGAATGCTATGGTTCTCTGCGGGTTGATGATGGTGTTATACATCTCTGGCTTCATCTCACTGGTCCCGCTCCTCAGCCAGTTTGTAAGGAACAGAGTTGCTGAGCGTTACTCCAACAACAGCAACGGCAGTGTCAGCACCGGGGACGTCTGCAAACGAAATAACAGTGACGACAACATAAAACTTGGAATCATAATCCAACAAGACTCATCAGAACTCTTGCTTATTACTACTCTACCCGGCTCGATTATCGCCATCCTTGTCAACCTCGTCCTTGGATCTTACTCGGATTTCCTCGGAAGAAGGTTCCTTTTCTTTGTACCTACTTTAGGAGCTGCCCTGAAAGTAACGCTTCTGTGTTTTATTATAGGCTTCCACATGTCCCTTAATTGGCTCTACCTGGCATACATTTTGGAAGGTTTTACTGGAGGGTTTACAGCCTTCCTGTTAGCCGTGTTTTCTTACACTGCCGATGTCACAACGCCAGGGAAAAAGCGTACTGTCATGATAGCTCTCATGGAGGGTATCTTAGCTGTTGCCGGAGCAGTTGGACAAGTGGCAGTGGGATTTATTATTGAGGATGTCAACTACCTGTACGCTGCGATAATGATCGCTGCCATCTTTGGTCTGGCACTGATCGTTATAATAACACTCCTACCTGAAACCATGACCAATAAGATGGAGAAACGGTGGTCTCCACTGCCACACATCAAGAAGGTTTTTGGATTCTTCTTCACACGAGGCTCAGGTAAACAGCGAGCCATGTATATTCTAGCAATGCTTATATTCTATTTTGGAGTAATTGTCAACCTAGGTCGGACTTCAGTAGAAACTCTCTATCAATTAGACAAACCATTTTGTTGGAGCCCTCTGAAAATCGGTTTCTATGGTGCTATCAGACTGTCCTTCACTGTCGCATGCAGTGTAGTTGGATTGAAGCTTCTGCAGCCTTGCTTCCGAGACATGACAATTGCATTAATAGGACTGGCTTTCGGCGCAGCATCCTTCGTGATGGAAGGACTGGCCGTCAACGATTGGATGCTGTATTCAGGTTAGTTTTCAATGGGTTTCTGATCTACCTTCATAATTTTAGTATCTTATACTGAGCGTAAAACCGTTAAACCGTTAAACTGTAATAGTGGTATAACATACATGGAGTAAAACATTTTAAATTAGTTTGTGACAGTTTAAGGTCCGGTTAATGTTAAAGCAGCTGGTGGAGCTGCTGCCAGCTTGTGGACCAATAATATAAGCCTGTGGAGCGAATGAACACCACGTGGATTGATCCAATAGGCAGATTATACATCCGAAGTCACTTTGTGGGGCCAATAGCCAGCTTTGAGCCAATATATAGTTCTGTGGGGCCAGTGGGCAACTCGTGGATCCAGTGGAGCCAATTTCCTGTCTTGTGAGCCTATGGTGGAGACAATATATTACTCTTCGGGTCTAAAAGGCAACTTGTGGAACCATTATAATATGATATTTTCCAGTAAGTAGCTTGTGGAGTTAATATATAACTCGGTGTAGCTTGTGAAGCCAATGCCGTTATTTGAAGCCGATATGGAGCAAGTGAACCAATATATAGCTCCATGTGACTTTTGGAGCCCGTAGTACTCAGTGAAGATAATTCACCAAGAAACAAGGGATAGCTTGAGTTGTCACATGCACCTAGATTTGATGTGATAACAACTATAACTATTTCTTAGGCTGGTTCCAGATAATATAAATCAGTTCTTTGTTTCAGTGCCAGCAATCGGTTTCATAGCATTCAATGTTGTTCCTGTTGCCAGGGCAACCATGTCCAAAATGACCTCGCCACTAGAACAAGGTAAGCACGTTCACAAGTTTGCAGATATGGTTGATTATTTACCCACCACAATGATGCGATTTACGTATTCATTCCGATCAATGTAACTATTTCTAACGCAATTTAAACATAAATATAAAATGTTCGTTCTTACGAAAGTTTAATGGTGCATCTTTGTTTGCATATTTTTTTTAACATCAGAATGTCTGCTTACATTAATATCTTTTCCCGAAATTTCGAGTTTTTTCGTAATTCCGATTTACTCGTTATTTCGAGATTATTTAAAAATACTAGACTTTTTGATTTTTCTCACTTCGATTAGTTTTTCGTAATTTCGATTTCGATTTTTGAACATAAACTTGCAATATTGAGAAAATAATCGAAGTGACGAGAAAATACTATTTTAATTTGATACTCTAATTTGTAAGGTTTTTAAATGAACTTGAAATAACAAGAAAATAATCGAAATTACGATAACTCTTTTTGCTGCTACCAAAGTGGCACCATATTACGGTTTCCTTCATATTTCCGATTCTCTTCCTTTGAAGGTGCCTTATTCTCCAGTATTGCTGCCATGGAAACCATCTGCAACACGATGTCCAACACTCTCTACAACACCGTGTATCAGAGCACTGTAGGGGTATTCAGGGGGGCCGTGTTCATAATGATGGCTGGGTTTGGTGTCCTTACCTCCTGCTTCATTGTGTGAGTATCCCAATGTTTTGTGTGTTGATCTTTAGAAACTGAATCTGGGCGGTCGGGTAGCCTCGTGGTTAAAGCGTTCGCTCGTCACGCCGAAGACCCGGGTTCGATTCCCGACATGGGTACAATGTGTGAAGCCCATTTCTGGTGTCCCCCGCCGTGATATTGCTGGAATATTGCTAAAAGCGGCGTAAAAACAAACTCACTCACTCACTCACTATAAACTGAATCCTATTGTTTGCTGAGTTTTCATATGGAAAGTATGCTATATTCACCGATCAGATGCACTTATAAGAAATATAAGATAGCTATAAGAACAATGAAGAACGAAGCGTGGTCTATTTCACGACAGAACACTGTTCTATCACGACGTCATTTCTGGAGATTCGAAAATGTAACATATCGCAACTTGATGACGTCATATATTGGACGACGTAATATTTTGGTGGGAAATGTCTACAGTAGTAAGTTATTTCCAATAGACGTAACCTTACAACGCAGATAAACGCAGTGGCCGAACGATTATGTCAAAAAGTGGGAGAGATATAGCAGTTTGTATTAGGAGAAAAGGTACAGGTAATCGACTTTGATGATTGTAGAAATATGTGGGATATACCAAACTTAACCCACCTGTGCGTTAAATGGACTTGTCCGACATATGCGAGGTTGGGTTCTATTCAGGGAGTAGTCACCTTTATACGAGATGTACGTGTTATCTTGAACTGTATCATCTGAAGTTTGTGATGCACTTCGTGGCATTGCTTTGTAATACAAGATCTGTACAGAAATATGTGACTTGGCTTGTGTAATACGGAGTCTGTATCGAAATATGTAGATTGGCTTGAGTAATACGGCGCCTGTTCTGAATAATGTGTCTGGGCTGGTGGTATACGAAGCATGTGCTGAAATATGTGACTTGGCTTGTGTGATACGATCATGTGATGAATATTATGTCTGGGCTGGTGGTATACGAAGCATGTGCTGAAATATGTGACTTGGCTTGTGTAATACGATCATGTGATGAATATTATGTCTGGGCTGGTGGTATACGAAGCATGTGCTGAAATATGTGACTTGGCTTGTGTAATACGATCATGTGATGAATATTATGTCTGGGCTGGTGGTATACGAAGCATGTGCTGAAATATGTGACTTGGCTTGTGTAATACGGAGCATGTACTGAAATATGCGACTTGGCTTTGTTATACGATATCTGCATGCTCAGTTTTCATTGGTCTGAACACTCGCAGCCTTCCCTTTATCTTTAGTTATGGTTTCAGCTTGATTGAATGGTTATTCGCCGCGACTCTCTGTATAGGAACTGTGTATGTAAATAGAGTGGCTGGAACAATGCTCAAAGAAGCTTAACACTGACATATCTGCTGACATATCCACGTGGTGGAAATTGTCTTCTAAACCTGTCATAACGTAACGTAAAGCAGTACTATCATATGTTGTATATTGCAGCATCTTCCTCTGCATCTCTCGTAACAGCGGGGACCTCGTCTACGAGGTAACGATTCCTCCAACCAAAAACGACGTGACTGTGAACAAGGAGGAGACAGCATCGTCCCCACACACGTGCACAGACACGACAAACAACGAATGATACTCAAACACATACACGTGCTCAACACTATCAGTGCGCACATTGAAGTTAGTGAAGATGTCCTTTACACCCAACTGGTTTCTTGGTCATAAACCTGGACAGTTCTACGATCTGAAATGACGCATCTCTTAGATCATTCTGAACACATGCAGCGTGAAAACAGAAACAATCAGTATTGGCGCCATTAGAATGTGTTCTGGACATTTTGTTGCAACGGGTTGTTTTCCCTGGTAACATTCCTGTGTAGGCGCCGAGGTTGAACGACTTTATTTAGAATACCTGGGAGTAAGCGTTGGTTCTCTGTTATGCATTATTTTGTAAAGAGCATCATGTTCGTAGCCCATGTGTTTTAAACATGGAGTCAACGCTCTCGACTAACTCCTCGATGGTTGAAATGTATATCCCCCTTTAGGGGGTCGCTAAATTTACAGAAATTCTTTTTCCACCAATTGAGCTGAGTGACAAAAATCACTTCAACCGTTACATGACGGAAGACACCAAGACTGAGCATCACATTGTACCTACTTTGAGATTCGAACCCGTGGCTTCAGTCGCGACTGATTATGTTTCAGGGCTACATATTAAACAGCAGGCAACGATTTCCATCAGACATTGATGTATTTCTTTGTTTATTGCTTAACGACACAGTCAGCAATAGCTATATGTAAATAATCGAGTCTGAACCAGACAATCCAGTGATTGATATTGCGAGCGACGATCCACGCCGTCAGGATACGTTGACACGCCATCGACCAAGATACCGAGCCTGACCTCCCGATCCATTAAGTGTCCCCCCCACGACCATCAAAGGTTGTAACCCAGAATCCACAGGGGTCACAATGCATTGAAATATGCAATCCCTGTCTGTTTTATTTGACTACGATGTTGTTTCTTAAAATGTGAAATGAGCAGTACGTCTCCAGTGATTAGTTTGGATGGAAGTTTCTATAATTTAAACAGATATGGTGAGGCATCGTGGAGTTCATTACCAACGCAGTGAAGAAACAAGGGTTTAGATGATAAATCTGTACGCCATCCTCCGTACTGCGTTTTAGCTGTTTTGATTAGATAATCGCGACCCCAAAGATATTGCGCCCGACAAACTTTGCTTTAATCCTACTAAATCATAAAACTAGACAAAGCCGGATAACGACTTTCGGTTAAATGTAGGGTTGCTAATTTGAATGACGATGTGAAGCCAGTTCAGATATATTTACGATATTGCCTTTCCTGTATTGTTGTGTCATTTGTTTTGTTCTTGCAATCGCACGACACTGTTTCCTAAAGCGTTCATGAATGACACTGTAGCTGAAGAAATGCTGGGGAAAAAATATATATATATATATCTGACTGCCAGCGATGCACGTTTCGACATAGCTTCATTCACTTATATGATTTCAGTTATATGTGGTCCTTTATTGTTATTTATATAGACATGGAACGTGAGTATTATATAAAATGCCAGACGCGTTCTCGTTAGATGCCAGTTTGATGAAGTTCACTAGTTCCACACAATGGAGACCTTCTGTAACAATCTCAATGTATGATGTATCTTTATGTTGTTTTCGGTGTCACCTGTTAGGCGTTTTCCCTTGCAAACTTTCTTATCATTTGTCACGTACAATACCCATATTTGTATAGTATGCATTCTTCAATAAATTATACCTCTTACAATTGTTCTCTTACAATGACACCAACAGATGGTCTTCTACAACCGCTGTTTGGCCTGTGATATAACCTTGCATTTACAGTGAACCCTTGGAATGGCAATAGCGGCAGAGACCCGTTACTCACACATAATGATAACCGTCCCCGAACACGGTTAACGGGGAAAGGAACCACACTTAGGATGCAACGTTAAGATCTCGTCTATTTTGAAATGTTCAATTATTCTCACCGAGTCTTAGCACAAACCAGGAAATCTATAATATCTGACATCGCACAGGATGTAGATAAAGAAAGTAAAATTAACCTCACCAAGAGTTAAAGAAAGAGTTCTCTTGCAATCTTGAAGTTTACGTCCTAATCGATCTCTTTATAGATGACTTTATTAAACGAAAACTAAAACGACCTTATTCTGTGTTCCCTCTTCGAGTCAATATATTGAAACACAAATAAACAGCGGGACAAACAAAAGTATACATCCATGTTAAAAAATTGTGAAAAATGATAAATGGTTGTTCATAGTTAGGTATCATTGTATCTTAGTTATGTGAAGTTCGAAGTGTTTCGGCGACTGTTTTCAGCCAATTAACGCTTTCATGTGAACATTTGTATTTTTTTGGTCAAATCCAATTTGATATATCGTTTATAATTTCTTTTAGGGCTCAGTCACACATTCCGGATTTTTACTGCCGCCCTTGGAAGGACCATTCCTGATTAATATTTGTCAAAAGTCTGATCAAAATCCTGTGATACGGGTGGGAAATTCACAAAAAAATCAGATATTGTTCAGGAAGCGCCCCGATTTAGCCGTTTCCAGCCGAATTCGTCCCGATTCTCCCATTCTCAATCTGAATCTGATCCGATTTGTATCTTCCGCATGGTAAAAAACGACCGAATGTGTCCCGACAGAGTCCCGATTCCCCGAATGCGATCCGACAGAGATTTGACAGTGACCGGACAGTTAACCGACAAAGACGCAATCGGTACTCAATCAAAAAGAAACGGCAATGAACAATTCATGTCCGTTCATCACGACAGAGTCCCGATCAACAGGACACCATCCAGACAACACAGGACATTGTTACGATTTTGATCCGATACAGCAGAATCTGTCACGACATAGTCACGAGTTTCCCGAATGTTACGGGACGCACCATACTGTCGGGAGTGCTTGTCCGACCTCTCTTGACCTTTCCCGATCCGCAGGACTCTGTTACGAACCTATACGTGCCGTAGCCCTGTCTGATCTCAAACGGGAGCCATAATCGGCACTGTGTGAACCTGGCCCTACCTGGCCTGTAATGATTTAATGTATCAGTTTTCCATTTGAGAAGATCAACATGAACTTCATATACACGTGTACAATGTATGATGTTACTTCACTTCCCTACGAACTGTGGAATATGATTTTAATATCAGCTAAGACATAGATGATACCGTATCAACAGCGTCAAACCTTAATCCCCACGTATAATGACTTCTTCAAATGCAGCTGAAAAAGTTTTATAGTACTATTTGTTTAATTGTATGTCTTGCTATATAATGGTGATTGGTGTTCTGTTACTGATACACATCTTTAGCCCAAGCAGCCACTGATCGTGGATTCGAATCACGGTTTTGTTCTGAATATGACTCATTGTTTGTAAGCAATGATCTGTTTCAACTTTTCCAACACTGTGGTATAGCTGAAACACTGCTCGAAGCTCACCCACTCACTCATTCCAAATGTATCACATTTGTGTATCTGGCACAGAAAATACAAATCTTTCTTGGTGGAGATGCAACGCAAATCAATTGCCCATATGTTTGCGATAACATCATTTACAGTTAATCACATTAATGACATGATAAGTATTTAAATACGCAGAAGATGACGATAGAATCCATTAATCTTGGGTTCGTGTCACGTTTTGCCTGACTATTAATAATATTTCGTCATCACTACGTCATCAGTGTCATGGATCTGCAACTTCCGCCAAACACCGTGGTATTATTGAAATAATGTTCGACGAGGTGTTTAACCCAACTCATTCACTCATTCCAAATGTAGCGCATTTGTGTTTCCGGCACGGAAGATACTGAGTTTACTTGGAGGAGATGCAACGCAAATTAATTACTTGTATCTTTGAGGTAGCATCATTTGTCATACAATCTACCACATTCATGACATGATAAGTATTTAAACACACAGAAGAGGACGTTACTAAACTACTATCATCCCATCACATGATCAAAGCGTGGTGTTCCATATTTTGAACGTATCTATCAACACCGTTGCATTCACGTGATAACCTTGGTTGTTGATGACTGTTCCTATAAGCTAATTGATGCATCACCATAGTGCATGTTAAACATGAGCAGTATGGGAAAGGCTAGTAGCTCCAAAGCAAACGTTATTGATGAAGATTATAATGATGCCAAGAGTGTGCCCTTGCTAAGGGCCATGGTGACTTGCGGGATAGTGGCGGTGGTTTATATGTCTGGTTTCATATCCTTCTCGCCACTCCTCAGCCAGTTTGTCCGGAAGCGTATTGCTGAGTCTTACACAAACAACCCAAACGAAAGTTTCAGCACTGGAAACACTTGCAGCAGAAATAAAAGCAACCATGACAATCTGATTGGAATCAAGATCCAACAACAGTCGTCGGATATCTTGCTATACTTATCACTCTCTGGATCCATTGTTTCCATCTTCATCAACCTAATCTTTGGATCCTACTCCGACTTCCTTGGCCGGAAATTCCTATTTTTCATACCTACCCTAGGGGCTGTCCTGAAAGGAACAATGTTGTGTCTTGTAATAGCGTTTCGATTTCCCCTTGGCTGGTTATATTTGGGCTATGTTTTGGAGGGTCTCACTGGGTCGTTCAGCGGATATCTCCTGGCTGTGTTTGCATACACGGCAGATGTGACTGAGCCTGGAAAGAAACGTACTGTCATGATAGCTCTGGTGGAGGGTAGCTTTGCTGTGGCAGGGTCTATTGGTCAATTGGCCGTTGGATTCATCATACATAGTGTCAACTACCTGTACGCTGCTATAATGATTACTGCCATCTTTGGCCTGGGACTGATCTTGGTAATAACACTCCTGCCTGAAACTATGACCAATAAGATGGAGAAACGGTGGTCTCCACTGCCACACATCAAGAACGTCTTTGGATTCTTCTTCACCAGAGGCTCAGGTAAACAGCGAGCCATGTATATACTAGCACTCCTTATATTCACTTTTGGCGGATTCCAAGTGCTTGGACGGTCAAATGTAGAAACTTTGTATCAATTAGACAAGCCATTTTGTTGGAGCTCTCTGAAAATCGGCTACTATGGTGCAATCAGACTGTCCTTCAGTGTTGTATGTAGCCTAGTTGGACTCAAGCTTTTACAACCTTGCGTCCGTGACATGTCAATTGCGTTGATAGGAGTTGCTTTCGGCGCAGCATCCTTCGTGATGGAAGGACTGGCCGTCAACGATTGGATGCTGTATTTAGGTAATTTTACATTCATACCGCGACATTGAACATAAACTCATCGTTAACATCTATAGTGGCATAACTAAAGATGTCAACCATTCTCTACCATTCATTTTGTGCGACAGTTTTACTTTTGAGGTTAAACTGAGCACGAACCACTTTCCAATTCCTTACATTGACTTGTACCTTATGTTCCAATGTGTGTACGGGCGAATACGTGACTTGCGTTTGCGTGTATTTGTGACTGGACCCACCAGTGGGCCAGGAAAACTCGCATTTTCGCGAACATCTGGTATCATCTCTTATTGATAGCGGTTCATAAACACATGCTCATGACATAGTCGAATCGTAATAGTTTTCTTATGGGTTATGGACATGGTTTTTTTGGCATCTATGTACATATATAAGAATACATAAGCTTGTGTATATTCATATATAAGACCTAGTTTGATTTCCCCAGATAGGTACATTGCTTGCAGTCTGTGCGAGGTGTCCGTGACATGGCTGGCATGAAGCTAAAAGAAGCGAAACTGACTCACTGACACAAACTTCCAAATAGAGATGGCATTTAAAACATCCCATGGGGTTTTTATACTACGGGAAACAAAATGACACAATGTGGGTACGGGTGGTTTCAATAGCCTTGCTGCATGTCCGAGAGCGTAGACAGTTAAATCCTACATTGTATATCAGTTACTGAATTGTTTGGCACAAACTCGAATATTTACAGGCTGGTGTAACATGCAATGAAGATGTAACAACGTGAAAATGCTTAGGCTTAGGGTTAACTTCACTTCGCGGCCACGTTGGTCCTTGCACCCATTATACTAATTTGAGTAACGAAATCCGTGCCCGTTTTACTCTAGTTTTCATGATTCAAGATGTTTATTGTATGAAGGCGATATTACCTACGTTACATGAAAGTAAATAAATACCCTGGTCTCTTTTTCCTTCACAAGAGTCATCATTGTTGTCATTTATTGGAAATATACTCAACAACAAAAGTTCCTGTGACACCACTATTTTAGTGTATTTTTCAAACAAGTAAAGTTTGGTTTTCATTGTTGTAGTACATGTTTGGAATCAATTCACAAAAACGCAACTGCTACAGAAAAGCATGCATTCCATGCAAAAGTTGACTTTTATGCAAGCCCCATGCATTTCACTACCCACGAATGGGTATAAAAACGTGCGTTAACGGGATTCCATATGCATTGTTTCGCATCGTGCTGACAAAACCACTCAGAAAAACAACAAAATTACGCAATTATTCAACATTACGAAATGCCACGCCTGTCCGAAAATGAGCGTCTGCGAGCCATTGGCATGCTTGAAGCCAACGTGATGCTGCAAGACAATTTAACGTCCACAGAACCTTCATTTGGTGTTTATGGCAACGTTGGCAACAGACGAATGCAGTCATAGACCATCCTCGGAGTGGCAGGCCACGCGTAACCAATAATCGACAAGACAACTGGATTCGAACAACACACCTACGAAATCGAGTCCAGCCAGCAACAGTGACTGCAAGAAGCATCC